TTTTTTTTTCCATTTTGGTTAATATTATATATCCCTGACATCCCATCAACCTAATAGACCCCAATATGGAATATTTCACACAACACAACTCTCTCACTATCATACAAGCAAGCATGGGATGTAAGTTCCAGCTAAAATGCGGTCAGCACCCTTGTTATATGTAGAAGCCAATTGATTGGTATAAATGTGATCTCTTTAGCTAGCTATGGAACCTTCATAGATCTGCAAAAGAAATGAGGACAAATAAAACAGCCATGCAAGTTCAACACAGACACACAGTGCTAGTGGTCCTCGGTTTTCTTTTTGTTGGTATAACTATAACTATACTAGTTCCTTAAATGCCTGTAATCAATCCTACAGGCCCATTGTAGCATTTATAGAATAGGCCACACTAGGTGACTAGGGTGGTCCTTTGGTGTGGTAAGGACGTTTTTTTTTTTTTTTTGGTGGTAATAAGGACATTTAAAGATGCCTTTTTTCGTTCTTGGGAGACACTATGGCACGAAATCAAAGCAAAGAAAAAAAGTCTTCTGGATTTCTTTAAAATCTGTAACAACCATTAAATAGAGTATCTCAGTTGCCCGGTGTGAAATGTGACTAATCAAGTGGCATGCATTGCATGTAGGCTTTCTTTGAGATCATAGATCAAGATTCAAGATAAAAGAGGTTTTTTTTTCTTGCAGGCCTGCCTTGCAGAAAGTCATCAAGTGTGAAGTGCTATGACAATGACGGAAGGTCTCATCCATCTTTTGTTCTTCCACAAATTGTGTACAATGAGCACCAATTGATCAAACCACAACCATAATATGACAATAACAAGTATGGAGCAAACTGAACTTTACATGATGAAGTTAATACAAATCATCTTATTATTCAATTTTAAGCAGTGGCATCACCAGAACAGCCAATGTGCTCTGTGGAGACTTGTTCTCTGTGGAGACTTATTTAGTTATGCTGCACATATTAAAAGGTGTTCAATTCTTTTATCTGTACTGTTCATGATTCTCACCATTAATCAATCAGAGTTAAAATAGATAGCAGCTACGAGAGAACCCTTCTCAACTCTATAAGACTAGAGAGCTACAATGCATTTGACTGCTAATTACATTACAAAAGTATCTAAACAAGAAAAAGATGTAACTTTAAATATTAAAAAATATTTCACTGATAAAACAGGTGTGCTAATGAAACTGTGCACTGTGCACACATGAATAAAGAGGAAACAATCTCTACTGCTTCAAGTAGGCCACATCATATTTTTGTCCTACATTATGGCCACACTCTTCCACTATACAAGTGTTGCTACAACAGTCAGTCACTCATATTTACAAGAATGCGAGTAAACTAATGTGTTAGTAAATATTCAATACCTCCCACCCGGACTGCCACCCATTTCAGGCGCCTGAACATTGCCATGCAATCTTTTTTTACAGTGTCAACAACTAGCATATTATCACTTGCGAGTGCCACTACCACACTAGTCTTTGGACATGCATCAGTGGTGAATGGGAGTTATAATGTATGTCATTCTCCTCCCCTCTTGCCCAAATAATTTTCCGGACCAGCCCTAGCGTCTTGCTCCCATTGTTCTGTTCATTGATACCATCTGTTTATCTCCTTCCAACCAACCAGCTACACACAAGGCTTGTATAATTTATAGTGAGCTGCATATCATTCATTCAAGTGGTAAAAACTCCCACAATTATCATTACCCCTGATTAAAAGAAGTCCTCAAACTCTCATCTGGCAATGTCCACGAGAGCAAATGCCCAGCTGAATCCCCACTCAATAACTGCTTGAGATTGCTTGTAAGATGAAGGGCAGTAACTGGGTGTTTATGGGATTTGAGCACCTTGTGAAGGACCAATCTGTATTCTGGTACTTGGTCACTGATCCCAAACCCTGTTCCAATTGTAGGAGATGACTTGTTACGGCCATTTACATCGTTGGAACAATGCACCATGTGCCACACCTTGACAGCCCCACTCTGATGACCTGTCACATACCAATTTGGGTCCAGCCAATCTGAGAAAGTAGCACTGGTCACAGAGAGAATGAAATCAGATGGCAGTTGAGAAGTATTAACAACCGCTAAGCAGTCACCATTGATACTCCAGACAGCAAGCAAGATTCCAGCTGCCGTTACAATTTCTCCAGTCAAATCGTTCACATATATTGCTGATACTGGTGCTGGAAATTCGGGGAGTTGCTTCACAAAGATCAAGCCACTAAGATCCCACAAAATTACAGTGCAATCATCTGACCCACTTACAATCAACATATAAGGCTGGCTAACATAGAGGCATGTGATCCTGGCTGTGTGAGCACAGAGAGCTTTCTGCAAATGCAAGCGTTGCAAGCTTCGTAACCTTTCCTTACTGATTTGCCAGACACATACAACACTATCGTCAGCCCCTGTTACCAGGGTCTGACCATCATGGCTAACTCCAACACACTGTATTTGATTGCCTCCATGAAGATTCTCATGAGTTGAAAGGAGTCTGTCCTGATCATAGCTCATAAATCTCAAGCTACGGTCTGGGAAGCCCCAAGCAACATACTTGCTGTATGTTCCTGGTTTAAGCAAATTATTTGTACCAGCCACCAAGATCTTATCATTGCAAGTGACAATTTGAGTTATTGAAGACAACGTCTTGCGTATTTCATGTGCCACCAGATAATTGCAATGTCGAAGTGGATGATGAGGAAGCTTCTTATCAGGCCGCCGTTTTGGATGAGATTTAAGAAATAGCTGCTTGGGTGTCTGCCCAAAATGGTTGATTTGCGCAAGAATGGATGCCTTCATAGCAGGGTCTGTAACAGAGTCTATATCCACACTCCCTTCGTAAGTGTAGTGGTAGAAAACATTCACAGTTTCTTCTGCCGCCTGCAATAATCGAGGAAACACAAAAATACAATCAGAAGGATGTAAAAACTTAACAAAATAGCAGACAACAACAAAACAGCCAGATCAAACATAAACTACAGTTTACCACAACAGACAAATATATTGAAGACACGCCACAATTTACATGGAACCACTCTGGCTCTTTCACATTGACCATTTTGGCAATATAGAGCAAATAATGCTTGTTTAATTAGTTTTACACATAAGACAGGACTAATTAATTCATGGAACTTATCTGAGAGATTCCAAGGTTTAAACTTAAGCCAGCTGACAATATACAAAATTATAGGATTTCATTCGTCAATGGAACCGACATCGAGCAGAAATTTTACCTAAGTTGATTTTTCAGTTAGGGAGATTGAAACTAGCTTGCACCAATCATATGCCTTCATGTTAATGCGAAGAATGACAGAAGGGTGATT